CAGCACGGCAGCATGGCTGATGGTTTGGTTTAGGGTTTAATGGTTCTCTTTCCAGAGCCTCCGGTCCCTCGGGGTTTCGGGGCTTAAGGTTTAGGGGTTTAGGGTTTAGGGTTTAGGGTTTGGGGTTTAGGGAGCTTGGGAGTGGGGGTTTGGAGTGCAGTGCTTAAGCTACTAGGTTGGCCTTTGAGGCAGTTTATATTTTTAATGTTTTGATTCAACCCTCATCCACGAAACCAAAACCCTAAACCCCAAGCCCCAAAGCCAAACCCTGAGCCCTGAAACCGACCCTCGCGAACAATAATATCCTGAACCGTACACCCGGATAGCTCCCAAACCAATCCCTCAACCCTGAATCAAATAGCCAAAGCCTCACCTGCAAATCTCAGTGCCTCAAAAACCGTGAACCCTGAGCCCCTAAAATTAAGCCCAAGTCACGAAACCCTAAACCCTAAACACTAAACGGCCCTAAACCCTAAACCTTAGTTGGAAACCTGGTCCCCAAAACCTTAAAGAATCCGCAGCGGCGAACCCGCAGCGCCCAAACCCGACCAGCTTGGAAGGTGCCTTTGCGGTTGCGTAAGAGCACCTCGGCTTCATCTAAAGTCCCAGTCGGGTTTAGGGCTTTGGGTTTAGGATTTGGGATGGCTTGTGGTTTATAGGGTGTAGGATTTTGGGTTTAGATTTGAAGTCTTTGGGTATCGGGGTCACGATCTAGCGTCTGGGGATCTTCTGTCCTTTTGTCCCTTGAGGATTCACAGCGGTCCAATACAAGTCTACAGTCGTTGCGTAAACCCGACACCCTAAACCCAAAAAATTAAAAAAATGCCTTGGTCTGCCACTATCGACACCCAAAATCCGACAAACGCGTGAGGTGACGATTTATATCAAGCCTCGGGTATACAGCTCGGGTAAAAACGGATGCCTTGGCAAGCATAATATAGGCTTTATTCATACAACAGGGTTTGGATGGGAGATGGAGATGTACCCATTAGAGCGACTGCTAGGGAGCAATTACCATCACCAAGTCTTCAGGCCGCGCCCCAATGCTCCTACTCCACGAAGAGGGTGCCCTACCTGCAAGCACGTGATGCTCTGGACCGGCACCACCTCCTGCCCCAGAGCAGCGGGCAGCCTCGCAAAGGCCTGAAGCTTTTCAATGACTTGGCAGTTCCCCGGGCTCCACATTTCCTAGTAGGCAGCCATGCCGTCCTCCGACCTCTGCGAAGAACAAGGTGGTCGAATAAGCGACCCAATGCAGTTATGGCCTGTCTCCATAAGCGCTTCGGCCGGTGCCCGCCCTAAACATGGCATGTAAGCACAAATGCCCCACCCCTCAGCTCCATTCACCCCCCCGCCCCAGACCCTAAAGTCGAAGTCCTAAGCCCTACATCCCTATGAGCCCCGAAGGCCTGAAGAGTTAAAGGAAACTACAGGTAGGGAGTTTAGGGTATAGAGGGCTTCTATAGGGCTTCTATATAAGGTATAGAGACCTTCTATAAGGCTCCTATAACGGCAACCACTCACCTGAAAATGTCCTAGAAAGAGGTCTCAACCCGAAACCCGGTGAAGCCCTTCGGCCTAAAGCTTTCCCATTGTGGAACGTAGGTCCCCAAAGCCATGATAAGGATGGTCTTGTGGGGCCTAAGTCCATGATGCGACTCTATGTGGAGCTGCTGGGTTGGAAAGCGTGAACCCCGAATACTAAACCCAAAACCCCCAAAACCCCAAAACCTAAACCGACGAAACCTTAATCCAGAGACGGAACACAAGGATCTGAAGAGACTGGGTATTAGCGGACTGTTCAAACAACGATGTACCAAAGGGTTTAGGGTCTAGGGGGAACCCTTGCATGTGACCTTACGAAACCCTAAGATGATACCTAAAAGGAACCCGAAGCTGATCCCTTAAAAGGAACCTTCAAGGAACCCTTAAAGGGTTTGTTTATTAATTCCTTTTAGGATTCGTTTTAAAGATTCCTTTATGGGTTGCCTTACGGTACTGTTTAAGGGTTCCTTTACGAGAGCCCTGAGGAAAACCACCCGGCCGGGTCCCCGGACCACCGCGCCCCGCAGCGCCGCCCCCGCGGCTCCCGCTGCCACAGCCAAGGCCGCGAGTCCTGCTTATGGTTTAGGGCTTGTGGTTTTGGGGTTTAGGGTTTCGGGGTTGATTTTTTAGGGGTGGGGGTGTAGGGCTTAGGGGTTTAATGTGGTTTAGGGTTAGCAATCCAGCTTTAGATGCGGGCTTCCGGACTTCCCTTAAAGGCATCTCTGAGGGTTACTCTATGGGCTACTACAAGGGGTCTTTTTCGATAAGGGCTCAAGTTTTAGGATTTAGGGTGTAAGGGTTTAGGGTTTAGGGTCTGTAAACTAAGGCTTGCAGTGAAGTGCCAACAAGTTGGAGCGTAAGGGAAGTGAGCTTCGGTTCAAGTTGTCAATGAAGCTCATATTGACAATCTGGCAGGAAAATGTGGTGTGCTCGGCCATCTCCGACAAGGTCATGACCTTTTTGGCACACACGAATGATCTTGTGATCCAGGAGGACAGAGGCTAGGCGAAAGCATCGAAATCCTCTTCTCCGCGGGTCATGAAGTCCAGACTCCCGGTAGTCAAGAACCCGAGCATCAAGCTCGTCGAAGCTATCTTCTTCTTGTACGCGTCGTTGACCTCCTTCTCGCCTCACAGCTTAGGGATCAAGCCCTCGCTGAACTGCAGAGGAACCCCAGGGGCCCGAAGATCGACTTGAGGGTTTACGGGGATTGTTCTTCACGAGTTGGGTGGTTGTCAAAATTAGGGTCCCTTTTGGGGTACCCTAAATAATAGGTGCCGTATTATAATAAGGACCCAAAGCGGGACCCTAATTTTGACAACCACCCATTTCATGCAGTTACTTAGCACCTTGCACTGAAGTAGGGGTCTACAGCTTCTGGGGATGCAGAGCGGGAACCGGAAGCTGCGGTATTGGGCTTGGACTAGGGTTTGGCATGCAGCATCTGGGGTTTAAGGGTTTAGGGTTTAAGTCGTGTGGTTTAGGATTTGGGTCAAGACTGCCGCGCCTCGGGGATGGGGGTTCGTGAGTTCTGGAGTCAAGATGTGAAGGTGCAGGGTCCAGGGCTCCCAAACGGACGCTGGAAATTGAAGCTTCTTGGCTTTTTGGGTTCTGAGGGGCCGCAGCCCTAAACCCTAAGCCCTAAACCCTAAACCCTAAACCCTAAACCCTAAACCCTAAACAACAGGCCTTCTTACCTTGGATCGTGACACACGGTCTGGGGACTAAGGTTGACGGTGTAGGGTTTACCCATAGGCCCTAAAGTAGTTCCTTTTTGGGGTTCATATATAGAATCCTATAAGCCTATAAGGTAACCCCAAAAAGGAACTACTATGGGGCCTATATGGGTAGGGCTTAGGATTTAGGAACAAAAGTGGAAGTCTGGGGTCGAAGGTTTTGGGTTCAGGGAATCCGCGGGCTCTTCCTCCAGAACCGCGCGTAACGAAAAAGCAACTTGATCGGTTTAGGGTTTAGGGCTTAGGGCTTAGGGTTTAGGGTTCAGCAGCCCCACAGATCTCCACCAAAACTAAACCCGTAGAACTTCCGCTACCAACCTGCAATGCCAAAACTCAAGAAATAGTATAGGGGTTTTAGAACTCTCAAAACCGAACGGCTCTTTGATCCGCAGGTAAACCCTGAACCTGAATGACTCTAAGCACCGTATTCCTATAACCCTAAACCCCTAAATCCCTCAAGTCCTAACCCCCAAGCCCGCAAAGCCATGAATCCTAAGGTTTCGGGTTTAGGGTTTCGGGTTTACCCTTGAATCCCTGAACCCCTAAACCCGAATACCCAAACCCAAAGCAGCCCTGACTCAGAACGGCACAAACCCTAAACCCCAAACCCCTAAACCCTAAGCCCTAAATCCTAAACCCTAAACCCCTAAAGCCCTAAACCCCTAAAGCCCTAAAGCCCTACATCCTAAACCCACGACACGGACCTCGAAGCGCCGGACCGCAGCCGCCCGGAAGCCGCTCCTCCGCAAAGCGCTTCAGGGCTAAGATCGGGGTTAGGGTTTAGGGTTTAGGGTTTAGGGTTTAGGGTTGCTTTTTGTACTTACCGTTTAGGGTTTAAGGTTAGATCCGAGGGCTTTACAAATGCTGGAAAATTCGGGCAGTTCTATGCAGCTCTTGTATGGTTTGCCGACTGCCTTGCAGGCTTTTGACGGAGGCTTTGCTCGGGCTTGTAATTCATAGAGGCTTTGTAAAAGGGCCTCAGGGGTTCGGGTAAGACTCTTATCAGAAGGCCCTAAACGAAAAACGCTAAACCTCGCTCTTAGGGTTTAGGGTTTAGGGTTTTGGCAATCTCGGCTTCTATCTGCCAGCGATGGGCTCATTCCACAGCATGCTCTGGGCCTGTTTCCTGTGCTCCAGACAATTTTGAATCGTTTTGGCTGTTGCGCGTTGAGAGCCTGGCCGAGATCAGTGTGAATATCTAGGGCTTCTGAAAATGTGTCGCTGTTGAAGGTGTTGCGAGTGTCCGTGCTACTTCAAGTACTGTAACTTGTCTAGGGTTTAGGGGTTAGGAAAGGGACCCTCATTTAGAAAACTACCCATATGGCCATCTTCAAGGCTAAACCCTAAACTCCCTAAACCCAAAACCCTGAACTCTAAACACTAAAGACACGCAAACTTACCAGCTCCTGAAGCTGCTCCAGCTGAAGAGACGCCGCGGCCGTCCAGTCTGCCTAGAGACCGATCTGCTGGTTCATGATCCAGGAGGGTAGAGGGTTTAGGGTTAGAGTTTCGGCATTGGGCTTAGGGTTTCGGGTTCAGGGTTTCGGCATTAGTTTAGGGTTAGGGTTTCGGCATTGGGTTTAGGGTTCAGGGTTATGGTTTCGGCATCGGGTTTAGGGTTTAGGGTTTCGGTTTTGGTGTTTCGTTTGCCGGTTGGGCTACGGATGCTTTAAACCCGAAAATGCCCTGAAACCTCAATGGCCCCTACAGGATTTCAAAGCCCCAAAAAAACCACGAAAAGCCCCAAAATACAGAATCCCAACTGGAAACCCTCAAAAAAGCCCTATAGGCCCCTAAACCCTAAACCCCTAAACCCAAAGCCCCCAACAAAAACGAAAAACCGCATCAAAACCAAGCCGTGCCTCGCTTTTCCCACTGCCCGCAGCGAGTGCAAAGGGCGGGAGAACCTCGTTTAGGGTTTAGGGTTTAGGTGTCAACAGCTTGGGGTTTAAGGGTTTGGGCTTCAGAGTTGTACGGTTTAGGGTTTCGGGGGTCAGGTTCAGGCTTTTGGGCTTGCAGGATGTCAGAGGTTAGATGTTCAGGCTAAGGCTTATGGAATCGAGTTTAGCTGGGTTAAGGCAGAAGGCTGAGAATCTTACAGTGTAAGGCTTGTTGACCCTGTTGGCTGTGAGGTTGAAAACAGATAGACAGTACGGGTTCAGGCATATAGAGTTTAGCTTTGTTGGTATCAGGCTTAGTGGGTTTAGATTTCTAAGGTGTTCGAAGTTTTATCTTCCTGAAGGCTTACATATAGGCTTTGTGATTCTTCTTACCTAGCGTTGAGGGGTTCTGTGAGAAAGCCCTCCAGCTTTCAAGTGGGAGTTTGTAAACAGATGGGGAACCTAGAGACCAAGGATATCGGATAGCGGGTTTAGGGCCGATGTCCCAATGTGGGGGGATACAGTCCGCGTGATGAGACACACCCAACCGGACAATGACTGTACCGCCGCACACGAATCATAGAAATCATCCAGTCCATCCTGGGTGATGCGGATGTTGCAGGGGAGGAGCAAGTGGCGATGACACGTCCTCCAGACGTTCATTGCTCGCTGCCGCTGTTTAAGCCGGAATCACCTTACCGGCCTCCTCCCGGATCCATTCGCCCTCATCCTTCGACTCTCTCTTCTAGAAGTGGACTTCACCTTTTTTCGAATGGTGTGCCACAGTTGTATTTTGAGGTTCACTGTGGACCAGAGACGAACTCACCTCTGTAGAGGATCCGTTTCAGGGTGCCCATCAAAGGACCCGAGCCCTCGGTCTCTCGGTCCGGCTTCACCGCGAGGTTCACGGTGCGTATGCAATTCGCATCTCTGGCAGGCAAGTTCAGAAAGCATCCCGAAGTTCAAGGCTCAGTTGCCTTAGTAAGTCTACGCAGTATCCCCTAAAAGCCCTTGATGGTCATAGGTCCCCATAATCCTCATGTTGGTCTGTCGAAGGACCGCCCACAAAACGCCTAACCTCTTATAACGCCTGCATACCAATGCAAGAAATCCTGATGAGGCCCTCAACAGGGCACACAAACCATATCAAACCCCTGAAACATGGGGGGTATTTCTCTAAACCCTAAACCCTAAACAACTGAAACATGGGGGAGTTCTCTAAACTAGGATCCCTTCTAGGTCCCCCAAAAAGTAGTATGGCACTCTTATAACAGGGACCCGATGACATAAATCCTGCATTACCTTAAGAACCCTAAACTATGGGAATTATGGTATATTCCCTAGTTGGCAGGGTTTTTTTTATCATCAACCCTAAACCCTAAACCGAAAACCCTAAACCCTAAACCCTAAACCCTAAACCCTAAGCCCTGAACCCTAAACCCTAAACCCTAAACCCTAAACCCAAAGTAGTTTAGAGAACTACCGACATGGGCTCTTTGGTTCGGGGCGCCTCGAGCTCCCGCAAAGGCGCCTCAAGGACGGCGGCGGCGCTGCTAGGGGCCTCAAGGAATGAAGGGGTTTCGGGTGTAGGAGTTTAGGGGCTTAGGGGTTTAGGGGTTTAGGGTGTAGGAATGTAGGAGTTTAGGGGTTTAGGGGTTTAGGGGTTTAGGGTTTAAGGGTTTAGGGTGTAGGGGTTTAGGAGGGTTTAGGGGTTTTGGCGGGTTTAGGGTGGTTTAGGGGGGTTTAGAGGGGTTTAGGGGGGTTTAAGAGGTTTAGGGTGGTGTAGGGGGGTTCAGAGGCGCTTAGGGGGGTTTAAGAGGTTTAGGGGGGTGTAGGGGTGTTCGGGGGGTTCAGGGGGTTTAGGGGGTTTAGGGGGATTTAGGCGTTTGGGGGTTTCGGGGTTTGGGGGGTTTGGGGGAGTTCAGGGGGGTTTACGGGTTTATTTAGGGGTTTGCAAAAGTCTGCACTCCACAGACCTCTACAAGGGCTCTATAGAGGCTTCTATAGACTGTTATTGAATGTTATTGACACGTGTCGCGGTTCACGGTGTGATTGCTCAGGGCTTAGGGCGGTGTCAGGGCTTTTGGTGTCGGCACGTCGGGGGCTGCGGGCTCGGGGTTTTCGAAGTTTCGGACCACCATGGTTTAGGGTTTAAAGGGTTTATAGGGTTTAAGGTTTAGGGTTTCGGGGTTTAGGGGTTTAGGGGTTTAGGGGTCTAGGGTTTAGGGTTTAGGAGTTTAGGGGTTTAGGGTTTGCGGTTTAGGAGTTTATTGGTTTAGGGTTTAGGGGTTTAGGGATTTGTCTTGAGGTTTCGGGTATGCGATTGACCCGGGGCCCTGGACGCGAGCCTTCTTTTGACATTTTGAGGTTGACAGGTTTTTTGGTAGTGGGTGTTCGGCTATGGCTTTCCATGGCTTTCATGAGTGATGAGGAGGAGGAGGAGAAGGAAGGATATGCGGCAGGATATGAAGAGGGTGAAGAAGAAACAGAAACAGATGACTAAAAAAAGAATAGTAACATGATGCTGATGCTGATGATGACGCTGATGACGATGATCATGATGGTGGTGGTGGTGACAGTGACGACAGAAAAGAGGCCACGACGATCTAAGCGACGTGGACGACGGTGGAGGAGAAGACGGTGGAGAACTAGTGCACTGTTCACTATCGGTCACCATGAATGTTTACACCACTGACATAATTTACATAGTCGTAAGTATTCCTCTTTTGATTAGGCCTTGCTTGCTAAACTTAAAATACTCGGATCTGTAGTTAGAATCAGATATTCACCTCATGCAAACCCGTACAACGGTACAGATCATAATCATCATTGCCATCATCATCAGCAGCCGCACCATCGAGATCATCATCCTCGTCATCACCACCGTCATCCTCATCATCACCATCATCATCATCATACACAAACTGATGATAACAATAGCAATGATGCTAATAGTAACCGTTTCTCTCATGATAAAGTTTGAACCTGCCATTAATCTAGTCAAGTCCTTGCTGGGCAAGATTTGCCAGATCCTTCGATGCCTCACTTTCGAAGCCTGACACCACACCCCTCAAACCTTGACATTACAGCCCTCCATTCCTTTCTCTTTTTCGGGAATCCCCTAACCCGAAAGCCCTACATCACCGAGGCGCGAGGGTGTGCAGCAGCGCCCCAGCGAAGGCCAAGCCACATCGAGCCAACGATCCTCGTGGAAAGTTTTCTGGGTCCTTGATATAAGAGGTGTTGCAGCTACCTGCACAGGCTGTTTCAGGGTTTCCTGTGCATCAGCATCCGGTTTCCTGTGCATCAGCATCCCTGTGTTAGGCGTTTTCGACATTCAGGGCTTCTTTCATACACATGTGCACATGTGCGTATGTCTGCGCGGAGAGCAAGCACATAGGGCTTAAGCGATAAAGTCCAAGGTCCACAAGCGAAGCTACGAACGAAGCGTCGCTCAGTCTTAAACGACAGCAAGCACTCTTCGGAACTTCAAGCGCAGGATGACATGAACAGGGAGAAATCGTCCCCGTCGCTTCATGAGGACGATGAGTCAATTTCACTGTGCACGCACTGGGCATCGATGCTCTCTCTCTCTCTCTCTGTTTCCGCATGTGGGAACGAACTTCACGTTGCGCCGTCCTTCTGAAGCAAACATTGACAACACTCGCCACAACTGCGAAGGTCAGGCACCTAAACCCTAAACCCTAAACCCTATACCCTAAACTCTAAACCGTAAACCCTAAACCCTAAACTTGAACCCTGAACGCCACGTTGGCTGACATGCTTCGGCGCCACTCTATGCTTGAGTCCACAGCGTGCGGCAACCTCGTAATATAGGGGCCTTAACAATCCTTAAAGGGTTTTATAAGAGATCTATAATAAGGCTCTATATTAGGGGCCTTAATGATTTGCATAGGGTTTGGGGCTATATTTTCCTATAATTATACAAAGGAACCCCCAAAATAGTATAGTTAAGTATTAAGGCCCCTCGGCTTTAGTTGGGTGACCCTCTTTCAAAAGGACATGCGTCCGACCAGGGCTAATTCAGGCCACGTTAGTCGGGGTGTTTCACTTTATGCGGCCTCAGTTGCAAGGTTGTGGAGCTTGGTAGCATTCCTTCCGGTGTACTATTCTACTCATGTACGACTACTATATTCATGCATTACCGGCAAACTGTACTACTTCGACGACTGTACTAAAGTTACTGTACCACTACTGCGTTACTCTGCCCGAGCATGCGTGGAACCAGCGGGGCAACAGAGCCGGTGCTAAACCTGAGCCAAGGATTCCCACATCCTCAACTGAGGCCAGGAAAACCACGACAACAACAACAACAACAGCAAAGGACAAAAAAAAAAAAACGAAGAGAGCACACACGTATCAAGGGACTCCACCAACATTGCGGCTCTCAGGTCTTTGTATCTGGCTAAAAATTTTAATTCAGTTTTCACTTATCTCCTTTCTCCAAACCCGCAGCGGCACCTGCAACTGCTCCTCGCTGCTCGGCGCCTCCATGTGTCAGATCCTGCTGCTGGGACAATGAAACCCTGTCACGAGCCAACAGGCCCTGAACCCTAAACCCCGATCCGGTTTAGGGTTTAGGGTTTAGGGTAAACCCCGATCCGTTAAAGGAAGCCTCATCAGCCTTGCATCCCCGTATCCTTGCTCTAGGTCTACACAGGGGACCAGGGTTCAGTGCTTTAGGGCTGATGGCTTAGTCCGCTGTCACTAAAGTTTTGGGGGCTGGCTTCGGTCACTCACTCGCGGAGACCGGGCGAGTTGCTGGATAATATAGGGCCTTTCATCCACAGGGTCTTGGGGTATTTAAAAGCAACGGTATCATAGCAGAACCCAAGACATAGCATCAAGGTCCTTTGCTAGCTTGATTCAGGCCTGTTTATTGCACTGGCCTCCTCATCACTGGTCTCGCCGAGATCTGTCTGCGAGGAGGCATCGTCCTGCGCCCACTTCAGCTACGTGGTTTGCCCCCCCATACCCGGCTCATTGCAGAGTGTAGGTAAACTTTCTGATCGCTAGATTATAAGACCCTGGTAGAACCCCTTAAAGTGCCGAACCCGTGTAGGACGTTTGTTACTAGTCCTGTTTCAACCCTACTGGCTCCCGCCTCGTCGTCGTTGTCCGAACCGGCGCTGTCCTCCTTCAAAGCGAAATGTGCATCCGACTTAAGGTCTAGGGCGTTTAGGGTGCAGGGGTTCAGCGTGCTTTTCGGGACTAGGGGTGTAGGGATTGCGGATCTCCCTAAACCCTAAACCCTAAACCGGTTTTGGGCCTGAGGTTCAAGTTTCAGGGTTGAGGGCTCAAGGGCTCAGGCCCTTCTTCCGGTTTTAATCTGCCGCCTCAAAGATGAGAACAGGGGTGTGCACGCATGTATGTATGTATGTATGTATGTATGTATGTATGTATGTATGTATGTATGTATGTATGTGCATATATATATATATATATATGTATACACACATACATACACCCATACAACCCCTAAGACTCTGGACGTTGAGCCACCTCTGTGCCGAAGCAAGTGTTGATGGTGCGTTTTTCCTGACT